ATTGTATTTTGTATAATACCAACAATAATTGAAGATTGGATTTGAATTCTCTCGTTTTAAAATCGCTTCGTGTTTACCTCATTTTTTTCTCTCATTCTTGCTACTTTACTTCTACTGAGTGTTGTTTTTAAATCCTAGACTTTAAGAGCACTATCCTTTTGGTCCATTCATTATATTAAGCACTAAGCACTAAAAATTATACTGAAAACACCAACCGAGTAGATCAAATCATGAAAATCTAAGCACAAATGCACATTATTTTAATTCTATCGATTTTTATTGCTTCTTTATCGCTTTTTTAACGAATTTGTTTTTCTTTTTAGTCAACAGAATCTTCTGATCTCTACTTTCTTTTAGCAGTTAGCAGTTCATTTATAACCGTAATAAGTACATTAATATCATCAATCAACCAAGTGAAAGATTTTAATGAAACAGTGGATTGAAATGAAAAAGTACTTCACGATAAATTTAAACCTGCGATAAAATTATTTTAGAACACTTTCGCTAATGCCTAGCAATTGACGAGAAATGTCGTGGTATCTTTAGAATTTATTTTCCCTTGCTCAATTGATATTAATCTGTCGTGTTTTCTTTGATAATAATCAAATTGTTAATAAGTTTTTTTGGATTGGTTAATATTGGCGTGTTGTAAATYACTCACTTCTCCGTTTCTCGGTTTAATGTCCATTGAAGTATTTTTTAATGTTAATTGGTTGACCACCTACTGGTAGACCCGAAACACCRCATAAAGCTTGTTTACTTTACGGAAAAAAACAATCAGCACGGAAAGAAGAAGTATTCAATCATTATTCCTACGTGAGCTTAGCAGGGAACACCAAGGGCCGATTAAGGTTGGTACATTTCACAGCATTCAGCATTCCCAGCACTTTTTTCTGTAGTGACTTTCCAAAGGAAAAAGTCTTCAATGCACAAGTCAATTATAAATTTATTTAAACAAAACAGATTTAATTTAAAAATCTCTGGGAGCGCTCTTTAGTATTTAAAGATACTTTTAAACGAGTCATTAAAATGTACACCTATTTCTCTTTTTTAAAGTATGGGAAAATATACTTTTAATTCATAAAAAGCGATAGTATTATTACTATTTTTATTAGTAACAGTAATCTTAATGTTCTTTCGCTATTTTCTGATCAATTATTTGCTTTTTAGTGACAAATATTTGAAACATGGTTTTTGTCACTTTCTCAGTTTCCCCTCGAAACATGCTCACGACTTAAGACCGAAATGGAAAAACAACAACAAACAAACAAGAAAAGAAAAATAATGAGAACGAGATCTACAAGAGTTAAA